CTGCCTGGGCACGAGCCACTGCCTGTGCCCAGATTGGTTTTCCCCAGATCTTCAGTCTGGCTCTGTCTACCAACTTAGGGCTAGCTCAAATATGTCATCTCCTGGAAGAGACCTTCTCTGACACCCCCTTTCTAAAGCAGCCCATCTCTATTCTGCTTTACTCACTCAACAGACATTTACCGAGTACCTACTAGATGCCAGGCACTTGTTCTAAGGGCTGAACTCAACAAGGATGGCCCAGGTCCTTCCCACATGTCTTAATGGCTCCCAGAAAATCTGATACCTTGCTTGGGAATCTGCTTGTGTCTTCTCTCCCCGTGCCAGGAGGGCCAGGGCTAAGTCTCTCTTGTTCACTGTGTTCACCCACGAGGCACAGTGTGTACTCAGTAAATATTTTTCTTCAATCAAAGAACGGATTGATGGATGGATGGCAGGCAGGTAGGTAGGCAGACTGGGTAGGTATGCAAGAGTGCTGACACTCTGCCTGGCACCTGGTTCTTGTTAAGGTCGCACTGAGCTCAAGTGAAGCTTTTCTCAAAGAAATGTCACTGTCAGCCCCTCAGGGGAGCCCTCAACCCCAAGCACTACCACCAGTGGGTCCTGCCGCATCCGGCATTCCCTCTGACTATGGTCATCTTGGCAAAGACAGGCAACAAGAGGAGGGGCGTTAACTCAGCTTGCGTGGGGCGAGTGGCATTAGTGTCTGTTTTCTCAAAGGAGCCCTTGCTACCTCGATATCCTCCCTTCGCTGCCACTCGGGTCCTGTGCTTAGTGATACTGCAGCACCGAACAGCGGAGGGGCTCAGCCAAAAAGTGCCTGCGTGTCCTCTCATCTTGTGCAGTCGCCTCTCTTCCCGGCTGGGAGACTGTGGCCAAGCCCTCCTCCTTCCTGGACCTTCATGTTCCTCCCATCGACACACAAGGTGGGGCAGGACACGCAGCTTCCTGGTCGCAGCCCAGCGGCAGAGCTTTAACACCTCAGTGCAAAGATCCTGTGGCCCCTATTCCTCCTTGAGATCTTGCAAACCCCGTAGGCGGAGCCAGCCCCAGCTTGCCTTGTCTGCAAAAGCAACCTGCAAAACTGGCAGCCCTGGCAGATCCAAGCTGCGGTACTGCCCGGCACCCTGAAACCCGACTCCCGAACAGCAGCAAACCCAAGGCCAAAAGGAAGTGCAGACTTTGCTGAAGGAGGTTTCACCTCCTACGCCCTCGGCCCTGAGCCCTTGCTCTCAAGTCCCCACCCAGTCCCCGAAAGGGCTACGGGACAAAGGTGGTCGTGCCCAGCGTGTTAGCTCTTCTGACACTCCAAGTCTTTATCCTTCCGGGACTATGGGAATTCCGGAAAAACCAAGGTCACCATCAAGCCAGATGGAGGCAGAGGCGAGGTGCTGACAGATCTGCCTCAAAGGGATCTAGGTGCAAAGGCTTTTCCACAAGCTGTGACAGTACGTACCGTGGCTAACCCAACACCATTCAGGCTCAGCCTCCCTTCCCCTCAACGACTGTCACCTTCACCGGGGAAAGCTTTGCAGCCCCAACTAAGGGCCTAACAGGGGTCTGGCCATTCCTGGCATCTTAAGTAGACCTCCAGGAGGTGGATGGAGGAATCCCAAGCCTGGGGGAAGGGTGTGTGTCCGGTGTGGAGATGCCACCCTCTTCTTCGCCAGCGCCCCAACCCATCCTCATCTGGTGCAGAAAGGGCACTTACAGGTCTTGGAGGCCAGTGAGGGCCTCGTCCTGGGGGTCCCATCCCTGGCCAAACGATGCCCCCAACCAGCAGCGGCGGCAGGATTTGGGCGGCCGGTCCAGGCCGAGGGTTGCGGGTCGTTGGGGGGGAGGGGAGGACGGTAGCCAAGCCTACTCCAAGTAACCATCGAAGACATCGAGCTCCGAGTCGGCATCGTAGAGGCCCGAACCGGGGTCGGAGAGCACGCCGAGGTCCACGAGCGCCTGGTCCATGTCCTCGGGCAGGAAGACGAGGCCCACATTGAGGACAATGTACTCCATGAGGAAGGCGTAGTATAGGATCAGCACATTGACGAAAAACAGGCCCACGTAGAACATAGAGGGCAGCAGCGACGGCGGCACGTAGGGGACCAGGGGGCCCAGCGCGTCCAGGTGGGCCGCGACCCGGGCGCCGGGCATGCAGGGGGCGGCGAGGGCGGCGGCGGCCCGGCGATCCCAGCGATCTCAGCCGCTGCGGCGCCCGGGCGGCCGGCAAAGGGGCAGCTCAGCCATGCAGGGACGCCCCGGGGGCTCGACCGAGGCGGCGCTGGGCCCCGGCGGTGCCCCCGCCGGTGTGCCGCGGCCCCTGCAGACGCTCCCTGGCCCCTGAAAAGCGCCCGGCGGGGTCCACGCACCCCCAGATGTGCCCACACGACCCTCTCGATCCTCCCGGCAGCCAGGGAGGCCCCCCTGAGGTGGCCGGCAGCTGCCCGGCTCCTCCGACGCGCCCCGCTCGCGCTCACTGGCCCTCCAAGAGCAGGCGGGGGCCCCACCGCAGCTCAGCGTCGAGGGCCAGTCCCGGCGGCTGTCTCTTCAGCCCCGCCCGGCAGTTCCTCGCGCCCCCTCCGCGGCCCCGCAGGCCCAGCACCCATGGCTGCGGCCGCCGCGTCGCCCTCCTGGTCGCGTTCCGAGCACCGCCTCCCAAGCGGCCCCGCGCTCATTGGCCAGCCGCCCGCTGCCCGCGCTCATTGGCCTGCTCGACGCCCGCGGTCATTGGTCCGAGACGTCCGGGGGCGGTACCGCTTCGCTCCGCCCCTCGGGGTGCTGGCCTCTGACTTGCTTTCCTGGTTCCGGGCTCCGCCCAGGTCTCAAATCCAATTCGCTCTGAGAATCCCCCACGGAGTAGCGGGAGGGGAAAGAGACAGAACACAGTTCGAACCTGCGCGTATCCTAAGGGCTACGAAAGCTGGAGGAAACCGCAAACTTCTCAGCAACCCCCTAGACTTGGGTATGGCGTCACGCCTCTTTGGGACTCAGTTTACTTGTCAAAAGGAGGCAGGATGGGGGGCGGTGAATTTACCAGTGAAACTCTCCGACTTCCCAAAGTGGCAATTTTCCGTGGTGGGGAAGAGCTCCTTGAGCTCTCCAAATTCTGGCTGCATCGCGGGGGTCTACATAATAGGGTTCAGGGACACCTGAATGAAGACATTCCCAGGCAGCTCAGACCTGCAGCAGTGGGGGTGCTTCTTGTTTTTACTTTGTAAAGCATGTTTAAAACCAGTCCGTGTTAGGGGCGCCTGGATGACTCAGTAGGTTAAGCGTCTGACTCTTGACTCTTGATTTCAGCTCATGATCTCATAGTTGGTGAGATAGATCCCTGTATCGGACTCTGTGCTGATAATGCAGAGCTGGATTGGGATTCACTGTCTCCCTTTCTCCACCCTTCTCTCGCTCTTTCTCTGCTCTCCTCCTCAAAATAAATAAATAAACATTAAAAAAAACCAGTACGTGGTTAAACATTAAAACGTCCAAGAAGTACGTAGAGAAGGGAGTCTGCTACTCACTGATTTCCCTTCCTCATGAGCACCCCCTGTATATCCTTCAGGAGACTGATCTTGCCCAAAGCAATCTTCCAGAGCAGTTCAACAGATCTTGACATCTCAGGCCACACTGAGCTGGGTGCTTTACATACATTGCTTCATTGTAGCTAGATGGGGTAGTGTAGTATGTTACCACTTTCTACAGATCAGGAAATCTAGGCCCAGGGAAAAGGGAGGACCCAAGAAGATGCTAGGTCCACATGCGTCTGGAGAACATACCTGCCCTTTTTCTCCATGGCTGTTTTCTTGCCCCTCAGATGAATTACAGAGAAAACCATTAATTCTCCAACTGCTGAAGGTGAAACCTTCATGCAATCATTCATTCACTATGCCAATATTTTTGTTGTGGTTTATTTTGGGAGAGAAAGAAAGCGCGAGCAGGGGAGGGGCAGACAGACAGAGAGAGAGAATCCCAAGCTGGAGGTCACCCTCAAGATTATGACCTGAGGGAAGCCAAGAGTCAGATGCTCAACCCACGGAGCCACCAGGCGCCGCACTCTGCCAGTATTTGTTGAGCACCTATGATGTGCAAAACTTTGTGCTAGGAAGTGGGGAGAACATTGGTCCTTAGCCCAAGTCTGAACACAGTTAATGGGACACCATAGATTGTAGAGAACTGTCTGGTGTAGAAATGAATGAATGAATAATGACCACGGCAGTCTTGCCTCCAGGGAGCCTGTCACTCCCCAGGACAGAAATTTAGATACACTTCTTGGCTCATGTGGGGAAAGAAAAAAATTGTTAAGATCAAGGCCATTACCAATGTGGTACAGATTAGTAGCTTATTGGGGCATTAAATAAGGGTGCCAGGGTTTGAACCATGAGCGTAGGTAAGTCAATCCCTTAAACCTGTGATTCAGATTTCCCGGGGAGGAGGGGGGCGGCATGGGGATAACAGTATCCGCGTCATAGGCTGGTTGTTAGAATCAAGTAACAATACATGCAAATCGCTTAGGACATTGGCACATAGTATATATAGTGCAATAGCTATTCTTATCGTAAAAGCTAATAATTATCAACACTGCGGTTACTTTGAGTCACCCAACTTCACCGATGCCCTCCTCAAGGCTCCGCGCACAGATTTCCCATTCCCGCCCACCATACGATACTGCGGGCTCTCCTCTCGCTCCGCCTCTTCTCCAAGGCCGCAGGTCCGTAGGTGCGTGATGCACGCCGGGCGTCGTAGTTCGTTTGCAGAGTCCTCTCGGCGGGGGCCTCGCGGGAGGACTGCATTTCCCAGCGTTCCCCGTGGCGGCGGCCGTAAAGCGCGGCGGTCGAACGGCCGGTTCCGGCTGAATGTCAGTGCGGAGCTGTGGGCCAGGGAGGAAGGTGGTTGGCGGTCCCTCTACCACCTCCGCCGCTGCCTCCTCCGCTTGTGCTGCCGCTGCGGGCGCTCGGTCGCTCGGCCGCTCGGGCATGAGGCCGTGAGGCGGGCAACGGGTCGGGGCCGCCGACATGTTTGGCCGCTCGCGGAGCTGGGTGGGCGGGGGCCACGGCAAGTCTTCCCGCAACATCCACTCCTTGGACCACCTCAAGTGAGTGTGTTTGTTGGGGGGTGAGGGGGGCAGGCCGCGGGGCTGGACGTGGGAATGGGGCGCATAGCCCCGGGCCGGGGCCTCTGCGAGGTGTGAGAGCGAGGTGGAGGGCGGAGAGAGACGCCCGGGAAAGACTGCATGGTGGTTAAGAGCGAGGGCTCTGGAGTCAGGGCGCTTGGAGTCGAACCCTGACACCGTCGCTCCTCGCTGTGTGACCTTGGGCAAGTGGCTTAGCTTCTCGGAGTCTCGGCACCCCCGTCTGTAAAGTAAGGGGAGGAGATTTCAGTTTATGGATGCAGACTTCGTTGTTGCCGGGGGGCAGCGGTGGGCACCAAGCTGACCAGGGTGGTACTTCTTAGGCTGGACTGCTTAGGAGTCCGAGGGCTGGACCCAGGAGTCAGATCAGGGTTTGAACGTAAGTGCGTGAATTTTTAGGCCTCAGTTTCCTCAGTTGTAAAACGGGTATAGTGACAGCACCTGCTTCTTATCGTTTTGAGGGGAGGATAAGAGAATGCACGCAAAACTGGAAGCACGCACGAGTGCTCAATGAACGGCAGTAATGAAAATATTTTTTTCCCCCCTTGGTGGAGACTACGGGGAGGACTAGCAGAAGTAGAGCTCTGGGGGAAGGACAGGTGGCAGACGTGGTCCTGGGAAGCAGGAGTGCATCAGACCTGCATTCAGATCCTGATTCCACCACTTAATAGCTGTGTGACCTTGGACAGATTACTTGGCCTCCTTGAGCCTCTGGTGCCCCCTCTGCAAACGGGGTTGGTGAACCGTTGTGCAAGAATTCAATCATGTCGTGCATGGAGAGACATTGATCCCGTGTCTGTTACACAGTACGTGGCTGATGGCGGTCACTGTGTCTATCAGCTAGGGAAGGCCTTCCTAGACCACCCTGCCTCAAGTGCTTACCCACCTCCATTCCTTTCCATCTGATCTTTCTCTTGATTTCATTCAATGCATAGCTCCACTGTCTGCACTTACCCTGCTTGTTTTCGCTCCTTTTCGGTCTGCTCCTCAACTGTTACTGCCAGGGGAGAAGAGACCCCTTTTTTTGCTCACGGTGGTATTCTCAGCATCTCGTGCTGTGTGCCTGGCACACAGTAGGAGCTCAGTGGCTACTGAAAGAATGAAACAACAAATGAATGAATTGGGACAGGTGCAGAACATGTAGACAAACATGGAATTTTTGGTGTGTGTGTGTGTTGGGGGGGGGGGTTTGGAGGTGCTGATGGAAAATAGAGAGTTGTGCGGAGGGAATGACTCCAGGGAGGAAAACATAGTGTGTGGGGCGGCAATGGAGTTGGGAGAAGGCAAACCTTTGGTGGTAAGAAATAGACTGGTTTCCGGAGGGAGCTCCCAAGATCACTAATGGGAAGGAAGAAGGATGGAGGGGGGAGGCGGGGAGCAGTAGAAGGAAGATGGGGGCCCAGGGAAAGGATTGGTGGGAGGGAAATTAGATGGGGCTTCTCATTTGGCCAGGGGCGGGGATCCTTTGCTTCTCAGCTGTGTCCTTTCTAGCATGGAGCAGGCGTTTAATAAATGTGTGTGAGTCTTGAAGAGTAGGAGGCAGCAGGGATCAGGATGTATCAAGGAATGGTTTTGGTGGGGGGTGATGAGAGAGGACACAGGGAGGAGAGAGGCATAGACAGGGTAGGGGTGTGTAGGGAAGCCAGGAATCTTAAACGGGAGGGCAGCTGGACTGGAAAGGGAGAGGCGTAAGGATTTCAGGAATTTAGAGAGTGGGTGGATGTGTCTGAGACAGGGAAGGATGAATATCTAAAGGAGGTTGGGCCTCCTGCCAGCGTCCAGGCACCTGCAGGCTTTCCCCTAGCTCTGCCTGACTCTAGCCCTTGTCAAGTACCTGAATGATTATTGAGTGCATTTTCTCTGCCAGGTCCTCGCTCAGGACTTCTGTGTTATTCCTGAGTCCTCGCGAGTCTCTGAGGTGTAGGAACTGTTACAGTTTTCCGTTTTATAGAAGGGGAAGCTAAGGTTCAAAGAGGCTAAGTCACTTGCCCCAAGGTGACAACAGCTGAAACGGGTCAAAGCCAGGGTTTGCCCTTGATGCCTGTACCCACTGCACTGTCTTTCTGAATGAAACTTCCTCCCAAGTCGGTTTGGGAAGCGACTCGCAACTTGGCTCAGTCTCTGTGCCCAACGGAGCATTTACCCTCCGGCCAGCCAGGGGATGGTAAAGGTTCACAGATTCCTTTTACGTATCTGGGCACTGCCCAGTTTCACTGTTTAGGTTAAAAGGCCATTGGGTGCTTTTGGAAACCCAAGCTGCCTGTCCTGGGTCAGGCAGATGAGCTTAATCCGTATTACAGTCTAAGCAACTCGGCGATTTACCTATCGGTGTGGGACTCGGAAGATCCCAAGATGACTTGGAAAAGAGTGCCGTAAACAGCTGGTCCTCACCCCAGCGCTTGTGACGTTCTTCGTTTGGCTCCGATAGTAAACATCTTGGGCCTTAGGTACACAACAGCTCATTCCCTGAGGGAGTTCACAGGCTGGTGGGGGAGACAGCCATAACACCCAGACTATACAGCGTGACAGATGCCGGGATCTCTGTAGGTCCAGGGTTCTGTAGGAACCCTTGGAAGCCTTCTGGGGGAGGCAACACCAGAGCAAAGTCTTCAGGGACAAGCAGGAGCCATCATGTGGGGCCGCAGGGTGTGGGGGGGGGGGGGGTGGACCCTGGGTTTGTGGAGTTTCAAGGTGGCGCTGGTGGTTGTAGGAAATAAGGGTAGAGGTAAAATGGGACTTGGGCTTCACCTGACACGAAGGGTGACCACCCCGGAGTGACTGGGATGGAGGGATTTCCCAGGACGTGGCACTTTCAGTACTAAAACTGGGAAAGTCCTGGGCAACTGATACAAATTGGTCAGGCTGCCAGTGACAAGTGACAGTTCCTAATATATTCATGGCAGTGTGGGTGGAAAGATTAAGGTAAATAAAAGAATTTAGGATTGAAAAAAAAATTTTTTTTTTTTTGACCTGCAGGGCACCTAGGAGCCCTCCCCCTTTTCAAAACAGACTATTTTTAAGAACAGTTTGCGATGTAAAGAAAAATTGAGAGGCTAATAACAGAGAGAGCCGGAATTGCTTTTGAACCACGTTATTCGTCATAATGTTCTCCGCTTTCACCCTGGAAAGGAGGCAGCCTGTTAGGATTTTACTTTTGCTAAATAACGGAAAACTGTGTGCCTATGGTCTTTGTCGACCGACCTGAGTTAGCGATTTAGTTGAGGGAGACTGAGATAGTAAGAGGTTATTTGCTACATGTCACGGGTGGGTGGTGTGCTGCCCACACTGGTGGCACGGCTGTGACAGTGACTGCCAAATGCCCACCAGCAAGGAGAATCTTTGCTGACGCATTTGCAGGATTGCTACCGCGAGATCACCTTTAGCAGGAACTGCCAGTTAGCATGCTGCTGGTAGGACTGTTGTGGTGTTAGGTTATTTCGTTGCCTTCACTCTGATCACCTTTGCATGGGGGTCCACAGTCTTGGTCGCCAGTGACAGAAACCCACCTAGAACTGCCTTAGGCCCCAAATGGAAGGGATTGGCTCCGATCGCTAGCTACGCCACGGCTGAGTGCAGGTGTTCAGACAAAAGCTGTCAGAATCTGTGTCTTTACCGTTCTTGTCTCTGCGTATCTCCTGTGTTGGTGCCATCGTTAGCGGGCTCCAGGCTTACGTCATAGCCGTCTAGCAATCCATGGGGAAAAGGGAGCATCTTTTCTAAATATTGCCAGCAGAAGTCCAGAAGTGAGTATAGTTGGACCACCTGGGGATCTCATGCCCATCCCTGACCCTTAGCCCTTGACCCTTGGTGCTGTACTTGGCCCTTGCCTGGAGCTGGGGTGGCATCAGCCCCCCCCCCCCCAAGCTGGTGGACAGAGAATGAGAGACAGGGGAGGTTCCCCCTGGGAAAATTAGGGGTTGTTACCCAAAGAGAAGAGGAATGTATACCTAGCAGGCAAATGGTCACGTATTCCTGGTACAGTCTACTTTTGCCTAAGAGAACACTGATGATTTTTAAGGGTACAGTGTTGTCAGATTAATTTTTAGGATATCATATTCACCATATCACTCATAATGAGCCCAAGCACCCATCGTGTCAGGTCCGAGTTCTTCCAGGCCGTCGGAGTGCTCTAGACTCTGTTCCCATCCATCCAGTTCGGCATGAGGGCCCTGTAATGCAGGCTAGGGAGTCAGGAGCCTCTTTGGTAGGCAGACACCCGTTTTTAAAAAGTTTTTTAAATTCTATTTATTTATTTTTAAATATATATTTATGAGAGAGAGAGAGAGAGGGAGCACGCACGAGTGGGAGAGGGGCAGAGAGAGAGCATCCCACACAGGCTCTGTGCTGTGCTGTCAGCACAGAGCCCGACAGGGGCTCAGTCCCTCAAACTGCAAGATCAATACCTGAGCCAAGATCCAGTCAGAGGCTCAGCCGACTGAGCCACCCAGGCGCCTGGCAGACACCCATCTAAATGGGGATGTAAAGAGTGAGGGGTGTGCCCGGCTGTAGGGGCGGGGTGGGAGGGATGATACTTGAAGCAGACCAAACCATGTTTGAGAAGCCTGGAGGAGAGAAGGGCTCAGGTTACTCACTAAGGGTGGTGTACGTGGGGTGAGGGGGCAGTGCGGGACCCCACAGCAGGCTCATGACGCGGGAGAGGTCACAGAGACATCTCCTTAAATTATGTGAAGGAATTCGGACATCAGGCTGAGAACAGTGGGCAGCCGTTGAAGAATTAACCAGAGTGCCTCGGTGCAGCCAGAGTTGGAGAGCCGGTTGGGGGAGGGCCCAGCAGGAGGCGGGCGTCCCCTCGGCCTCCTGGGAAGCGAGGGTGGCAGCCGGCCCTAATCCGGGGGTGTTTCTTGTGCAGCTTCACGGACCTCCTCTCTCGCTCCCTGTTCGACACACCTCACACGCCCACCTGTCTTCATCTTTGCTCTCCCCTGGAGCTCCCCTCCCCTTCC